ATTTAAGTGGAAAACCACATTACAGGCTGATCCAACTTTGATGTAATGTCCTTAAAACAAGTCAAAATGAGGCTCAGTAGTGTGTGTGGCCTCCACGTGCCTGTATGACCTCCCTACAACGGCTGGGCATGCTCCTGATGAGGTGGCGGATGGTCTCCTGCGCGATCTCCTCCCAGACCTGGACTAAAGCATCCGCCAACTCCTGGATAGTCTGTGGTGCAACGTGGCGTTGGTGGATGGAGCGAGACATGATGTGCTCAATTGGATTCAGGTCTGGGGAACGGGCGGGCCAGTCCATAGCATCAATGCCTTCCTCTTGCAGGAACTGCTGACACACTCCAGCCACATGAGGTCTAGCATTGTCTTGCATTAGGAGGAACGCAGGGCCAACTGCACCAGCATATGGTCTCACAAGGGGTCTGAGGATCTCATCTCGGTACCTAATGGCAGTCAGGCTACCTCTGGCGACCACATGGAGGGCTGTGCGGCCCCACAAAGAAATGCCACCCCACACCATGACTGACCCACCGCCAAACCGGTCATGCTAGAGGATGTTGCAGGCAGCAGAACGTTCTCCACGGCGTCTCCAGACTCTGTCACGTCTGTCACGTGCTCAGTGTGAACCTGCTTTCATCTGTGAAGAGCACAGGGCGCCAGTGGCGAATTTGCCAATCTTGGTGTTCTCTGGCAAATGCCAAACGTCCTGCACGGTGTTGGGCTGTAAGCACAACCCCCACCTGTGGACGTCGGGCCCTCATACCACCCTCATGGAGTCTGTTTCTGACCGTTTGAGCAGACACATGCGCATTTGTGGCCTGCTGGAGGTCATTTTGCCGGGCTCTGGCAGTGCTCCTCCTGCTCCTCCTTGCACAAAGGCGGAGGTAGCGGTCCTGCTGCTGGGTTGTTGCCCTACTATGGCCTCCTCCACGTCTCCTGATGTACTGGCCTGTCTCCTGGTAGCGCCTCCATGCTCTGGACACTACGCTGACAGACACAGCAAACCTTCTTGCCACAGCTCGCATTGATGTGCCATCCTGGATGAGCTGCAATACCTGAGCCACTTATGTGGGTTGTAGACTCCGTCTCATGCTACCACTAGAGTGAAAGCACCGCCAGCATTCAAAAGTGACCAAAACATCAGCCAGGAAGCATAGGAACTGAGAAGTGGTCTGTGTTCACCACCTGCAGAACCACTTCTTTATTGGGGGTGTCTTGCAAATTGCCTATAATTTCCACCTGTTGTCTATTCCATTTGCACAACAGCATGTGAAATGTATTGTCAATCAGTGTTGCTTCGTAAGTGGACAGTTTGATTTCACAGAAGTGTGATTGACTTGGAGTTACATTGTGTTGTTAAAGTGTTCCTTTAATTTTTTTGAGCAGTGTATATAAACATGGGGGATTGGAAGTGAAGCAGACAATTACATTGATGGAAGTTACAATCTATCTGCAATATTAAGCTGATCTACCCCATAGAAAAAAAGAACAGAACTAACTTACGGCTCAATAAAATACCAGACAGAATAGGTGATAGGACTATGAGAAATCATATACACCGAATATACAAAACATTAAAGACACCTGCTCTTTCCATGACATAGACTGACCAGGTGAAAGCTATGATCCGTTATTGATGTCACTTGTTAAATCCCCTTCAATCAGTGTAGATGAAGGGGAGGGGACAGGTTAAATAAGGTTTTTTAAGCAATTGAGACATGAATTGTGTATGTGTGCCATTCAGAGGGTGAATGGACAAGACAAAATATTTAAGTGCCTTTGAACAGGGTATGGTAGTAGGTGCCAGGCACACCGTTTTTTGTCAAGAACTGAAACGCTGCTGGGTTTTTCACGCTCAACAGTTTCCCGTGTGTATCAAGAATGGTCCATCACCCAAACGACATCCAGCCAACTTGTCACAACTGTGGGAAATAATTAGAGTCAACATGGGCCGGTATCCCTGTGGAACGCTTTCGACACCTTGTAGAGTCCATGCCCCAACGAATTGAGGCTGTTCTGAGGGAAAAGGAGGGAGCTAAAAAGCTCTTCTCAGAGTATGCATCTGCACAGCAGTGTTCTAGAATATTGGACCATTGGCTTTCATACTTTTCGAATTCTCAGAGCAATTTCTCCCAGCGTCACCAGATTCAAATGAATAGGAGCCGCATATGAGGAAATGCGTTGGTTGGGACTTTGGGGGAGGTGTGCGGTCAGGCTGTGCGTCCTCCACAGACGGTGGTCTCAGAGCCATGTAGCTATGTCACAATGGGCCACCAGACTGTCGCGGCTCTGCTTCTATGAACTCTGAATTAGCCTTAAGAGTGTACCCAACACATTCTGTACATCACCTCTTTGCCTGCTATTCTACAATCTGTTTTTCACTGGAGTCAGACATCAATAATGGCCTTTTGAGGCCTCGCTGCCAAACCAAACACAGCTAATGGATGACGCTGTAAATCTGTGGTGTCCCAACCTCATCCCTAAGAGCTAACAGGTCTCCCTGAAGTGGGGTGTAGCGATGTATCCCAGGTGGAATTTAATTACTGATAGAAGGTTTTCAATCAAGAGCTGATCAATTCCAGGAACACAGAAGAGACCGAGGTGACATTCTACTGAAATTATTAATTCAGTAAATCTATCAAGGGATAGCTAAGGTACAATATTAGCCAGGAGACTCAGGGATGCTACTTAGTAAATCTTGTAGACAACTGCTTTAGGTAGTGTTGAAAGTGGAAGTGTTTTGGTGTTTGTGGTTTCTGAGGGAGGCAAAGTAAAAAGTTTGAGGAATGCAACATGATACTTAAAGGTAGACTCAGCGATATGACATAGATGCAGAAAGTAAACAGCATAGTGGGTCAATTTCCGCAACAACTAAGAGGTTCAACTAATCCGCTGTTTTGGTCCCCTGGCTACCATGCTGTAACAGCATGAAGTGAACCCGTGAACATGCACAGATACTGTGTGTGAGAGTGTGAGAGCGAAGTCTTGCATCTCACTCATCTCAATATCTGCGGTGCTGCTCATGCCATTGTCATTTCGCTGAGTCTACCTTTAAATTAGGTGTTGAGTGGCTGGACAGCACATCAACAAAAAATCTGAAAATCCCAGGAAAATGTAATAAGGTAGAGAAGCAACTCACAATGATTTTAAAAGCAGATAGTTTTATTGACCTCTCATATATACTGTATGTTCTTTAATCCATCACTGTTTTTATGTATTAGAAAAGTGTGTGCATGCCTGCTGCGTGTGTGTTTGTGTGTGTACTTGTGTACGTGTGTATGTGTGTACGGTTATGTGTGTGTGCATGCTTGCATCAAATGTTTACCTCACCCACAGCTTTAGGAGTTCATTAGCACTAACACTCCGTAAAGCACAGTGGGTTTAAATTGAAATAATTGAAAACGCATAAAAATTAAAATGACAAATAACTAATTTAATGGGACAACTAACTACTTTAGGAAAGACAAAAAAAGAGGAGAGATATTTTTAAATAACCCTTGACACAATACTGTAATTTCAAGTGGCTCATTGCTGGCTCTTGGCTGGTGATCCAGGTTGTTTAGTTCTCCAGGTGTGTCCATATGACCTACTGTGTGGAGTTATTGCCTAACACTGGTTCTGGAATGGTGAACGTCTGAGCACCATTAATTAAAAAAGAGTGGTCATATAAATCACAACAGGGGTCTGAAAAGAAGGCAGAGTGTTTCTGAGGAGAAAGATATCGTAGGACACTGATTCAGAGGGGTTGGGTTAAATGCGGAAGACACATTTCATTTGAATGCATTCAGTTGTGCAATTGACTAGGTATCCCTTTCCCTTCACTTGGAGTTAAAAAGGCCAACGCATCACCCCGAAGTCATAGAGCCTATAAGACTATCCAATTTAAAGGTCACGGAAATCCAAGTTATGAGCTTGAACTTTAAGAGGTAGGGGCCTTATAAGATATGGGCTGGATGGGGCCTCAATCTGCTATCGATGAAATATCACTTCACCTTTCCAAATGAGTCTTATGGATTTACAAGCTGTACTCATTTGCCGGCCATTCCACTACTTTCTAGCATTATCCAGGCCTTCTGTTTTGGTTGACATGCGGTTAGCACAGTTTCAACCCAGATATCTGTCTCACTCCTTTGACTCCTCAGCAAGCAAATGTGAAACAAATGACTTTTTGGTTGAGGTGGTGAAGAGAATCAAAAGAGAGGCTTCTCCAGACAGTGAGCACAGTGGGCCGGATCTGTGTTAATTTGTTTATTGGCTCACTTTCATATGCAGCAAATTGTTCATTGAGGATTACAGGGAAGGCCCCCAAGTGTGCTTTCACGGCTGGAAAACTAGGAAAGTAGTTTGAAATAAAATGGAAAAACTAATCACCTCAATGAGTTTTAGCCTAAAAGTGTAATTACAAGCATAATTTAAAGGGATAGCATCCACGATGAAGGTATGAGTCTGAAAGTCAGAAAATATCCAATTGGGTCTACAGAGACAGACAAGTTAATCAATGTAATTCAAGAAGCCAGTTTATCTAATGGCATTACTGAAGAAGTCAAGGTCATGATTGCATGCTAAATGGAATTTGGATATCGTCATCCTAAAATGTCCTCAATTCCAGAATAATTTCATTATAATAAAATCAAAACTATGAAGGCTACTGCTGAGTTAGATGACAATTGCTTTCATTAATCCAGTCTAATTAATGGATGGATATAATAGTCCATTACTCCTGCTGATCCCTTGATCATCAATATATCTGGTTGGGGTTTAGGCCTAAATCACAGTCACACAGGGTGGGGCACAGTTATGAAATCCTTCCTGTATGAACTGATAAAGCTAAGGTAGATAAATAACATTAAGTTGTACTATTTATCCTAATAGTATGTGTTTTATGTAGTGCATGAATCCCTAACTTTTCCTGATTCATAAAAAAGGCTGGTAAAAATGTATTCAATTTGGTCAAAGCATCACTATTCCACATGTATGTATTACAGGAAAGAAACAGATCAGTATTACTGATCTGGGATCTGCAGACAGATGGTAAGTTCTATTAGCTTCCTGTAGAGCAGATGTGAATGAGGAAAACATTCACAGGAACATGGCCTTAAATGTTAAAAGGTACAATGCAGCCTTTTTTTATCTCAATATCAAATAATTTCTGGGTAACAATTAAGTACCATACTGTGATTGTTTTCATTTAAAATTGTCATAAAGAAGAAAAAAAAAGCTTCTTAGCAAAGAGCAATTTCTCAAGCAATTTTGCTAGGACTGTCTGCGAGTGGTCTGAGTGCAGGTTGACGTTTATTGTCATGAAACTTGCCCTGGAAGCAGAACTGAGCGATTTCCGCTAGATGGGCCAGCTATATATATTGGCTATATTGTAGAAATTAATGAAAACAAAAATTTGCTTTTTGGTCTTCATTTAGGGTTAGGCATTAGAGTTAGCAGTGTGGTTAAGGTTAGGTTTACAATCCGTTTTTATAACTTTGTGGCTCTGCCAGTTAGTGACCACTCTGAAGAGCTGCCTCTAGAACAAGACTCATGACAAAAAACATGGGGAGGGGAAACTAGCTGTTTTCAGGTTTGGAACTCTCTTTCTTATTGGTCTATTAACCAATTTATCACCAGGCAGGCCAAAACTCCATCCCACCAAAACAGGCTTAAATTTCATGTACTCTTTTCAAACAGCTCTTACACTAAAAGGGCATTATCATAATTTTTACAATTTCAAAGTATTATTCCAACCTCATAGTGTGGAAATATATACAGAAGATGGCCCTATTTGGTAAAAGACCAAGTCCATATTATGGCAAGAACAGCTCAAATAAGCAAAGAGAAACGACAGTCCATCATTACTTTAAGACATTAATGTCAGTCAATATGGAACATTTCAAGAACTGATAAAGTTTCTTCAAGTGCAGTTGCAAAAACCATCAAGCGCTATGATGAAACTGGCTCTCATGAGGACCACCACAGGAATGGAAGAACCAGAGTTACCTTTGCTGCAGAGGATACGTTCATTAGGGTTACCAGCCTCAGAAATTGCAGCCCAAATAAATGCTTCACAGAGTTCAAGTAACCAACAAATCTCAACATCAACTGTTCAGAGGAGACTGTGTGAATCAGTCCTTCATGGTCGAATTGCTGCAAAGAAACCACTACTAAAGGACACAAATGAGAAGAAAAGACTTGCTTGGGCCAAGAAACACGAGCAATGGACATTAGACCGGTGGAAATGTGTCCTTTGGTCAGGAGTCCAAATTTGAGATTTTTGGCTCCAACCGCTGTGTCTTTGTGAGACGCGATGTGGGTGAACGGATGATCTCTGCATGTGTATTTCCCACCGTAAAGCATGGAGGAGGAGGTGTTATTGTGTGGGAGTGCTTTGCTGGTGACACAGTCTGTGATTTATTTAGAATTCAAGGCACAGTTAACCAGCATGGCTACCACACCATTCTGCAGCGATACGCCATCCCATCTGGTTTGGGCTTAGTGGGACTATCATTTGTTTTTCAACAGGACAATGACCCAACACACCTCCAGGCTGTGTAAGGACTATTTTACCAAGAAGGAGAGTGATGGAGTGCTGCATCAGATGGCCTTGCCTCCACAATCCCCCGACATCAACCCAATTTAGATGGTTTGGGATGAGTTGGACGGCAGAGTGAAGGAAAAGCAGCCAACAAGTGCTCAGCATATGTGGGAACTCCTTCAAGACGGTTGGAAACGCATTCCAGGTGAAGCTGGTTGAGAGAATGCCAAGAGTGTGCAAAGCTGCCATCAAGGCAAAGGGTGGCTATTTGAAGAATCTCAAATCTCAAATATATAAAGAATAAACCTGGAATGAGTAGGTGTGTCCAAACTTTTGACTGGTACTGTATAAAACACAGGAAAATCATGTTTTTGACTGCACTGGGCCTTTAACTACCCTGTCAGTGATTTAATTATCACATAAATGATATGACTAAGTACTGTCAAGTCAGACCCAGTCTTCTCTGCATGAATCAGGGCCGTATTACCAAACGGGTACGCAGGGACTCCAGAAGTCGGTGCCCCGAGGCCTCAAATGTACCTTTTACTCAGGCCTTTTTACATATAAATTACTGAAATGGACAGAATGAATAGAGTAGAAAATAATCACTGTCATCTTATTTTTTGCTTCTGCTTTAACCTGGAACTATGTATTCAATGAGCTCTTAGCTCGTAATGGAATCAGCCATGATTGACGGTCTAAGGAATGATACATGGCAGCTACAACAGACAGAATGAATGTGTATAGTTTTCAAAGTGTTTCAATCCGTTTCAGTACGATGCCCTATGCAATATCGTATCCTCATACAACCGCTGAAGAATTTTAAAAGCGCTCTTTGTGGGCCATATTCACACTAAAGATACAAGCATGTCCGGTGTAGGGGCAGGCTTTTGCTCCAGCCAAGCAGTAAAACACCTAATTCAACTAATCATAGCTGGACCAATTGGCTTTGATTAGTAGAATCAAGTGTTTCTACTTGGTGGGAGAGAAAGCCTCCAAGATTGTCCGTCCCTGACCTACATACAATAACATCATTGTGACTGCCACTGTATTTACTTTTAATTTATGCTTAAATCATGATCTTAATGATATAATAAAAATGAAGCATGTGCCAATGTGAGTGAGCTTCAAATTCCTGACCAATTTCCAATATAACCAAGTATATGAAATTACAGCAAAATTTCAATCATGGTAATTCACCCTATGAAGTAATTCTTATCCATAAGTGAGGATGGAGAGAGGTACTAAGTGGAGAAGAGACCCTACTGTCCCTGAGCTTACCTCAAGGACCTGCAGTCGCTCTAGAAGGGGCTTGGCCTCGTGGGAGTCCTCCTCGTGTCCACTACTGCTGGCTCCAGGAGAGTTGGGCCTCCTCTTTGTCGAAGGGGGCGTTGGGCCCTCCAGACTCTCCTGCTGTTTCCACATCTCCTCCAGGAGTTTGTTCTAAACCATAGAAAGAGGGGTTGCAGAGAAGCACAGAGCTGCTGAAACAGTTGTTACGCATTGCCATTTTCTCCAACCTACAAGATACACATAGTATTAATGGAAAAAATTGAATTTGGCCATCATATGTGGATTTTATTTAATCATATACAGTAGGTGAACTGCTATTCTGTATTTGCAGTTTGCTGTATAGGGATGTAGCTACAAGCACTACGCAGGCATGCAAATTAAGACTTCTGATTCATAGTATTTTGACTCCTTCCAAGAAAAGCAATCACAGGATTTGTTTGATGTTATATTTTATATTCTGTAGCTGCCTCTTCACAATTATAGTTAGTTTGATAGTCACCACTAATACTGTAGCTTACTTCTTATTTTTCTGGCTGCTCATTTGACCAGTTTTCCACCTTAACTCATATGGATGTCCTTGGTTGACCCCCCAATGTTTGTTGATTGAACCATAAAATAATTGGCAAGAATTATCTCAAATATTATGAAATATGGGACCCCAGATGTTACAAAAACATCAACATTTACAAAAGTCTCCTTCCTTCCTTCAATCCATGAAGTCTTGTGAACTGCTGATAAAAAATGCATTGTGAATTATGGGGCTTATTTGCATTTGTAATACGCGTTGTTGGTTTTTATGTCAAGCACTTTTACCCTTGCTGCCTACACCAATCAATTGCATCTCACAAGCGCTCGAGATGAAGACTAATTGAAAAGATAGAGGTGTGTGGGTGCATAGTGTGCCATCTAGTCTACAAAATGTCATGGCCACAAATCAATTTAGTGTTCATCACATTGTAACTTTCTCAAAACCAAGCAATCATCCAGTAGACAAGTAGTAAGACCACCAGGGAAGCATAGTTCCCTCATAATGACTTAGCCATGCAGTGTAGTCCTGTGTGGCTCAGTTGGTAGAGCATGGTGCTTGCATCGCCAGGGTTGTGGGTTTGATTCCCACATGGGACCAGCACAAAAAAGTATGGAAATGTATGCACTCACTAATGTAAGTCGCTCTGGAAAAGAGCATCTGGTAAAATGTAAATGTTTTACATGAGCGTGCACTTATAATGCAACCACTTTCCCATTAATCCTGATTAAGAATATGTTACAGGTACTTAAAACCTGAATATTTGCTAAAGACCTCACATTGGGTTACAGGAAAAAACAATGTGTAATCTTACACAGAGGTCATGGTAAAATGTCACTGTATTGTATTGTAACGTCCCTGGCCTTTTGAACCAGTTGGTAGCATTCTCCAGCTTATTAACTCCTTTGGGACTGTGGTTAGCGTACTCGCCTTGGGGCCAGGTGACCAAGGTTCGAATACCCCCAGTGGTGGTACTTACTCCTGGCGGTAGCTGCATTAGTGTCAGAATGTATGACTGGCCTAAGATGCCAGGGCTTGAAAACTATTACAGACTACAAAGGGAAGCACAGCCGCGAGCTGCCCAGTGACACAAGACTTCCAGACGAGCTAAACCACTTCTATGCTCGCTTCGAGGCAAGCAATACTGAAGCATGCATGAGAGCACCAGCTGTTCCGGATGACTGTGATCACGCTCTCCGTAGCCGATGTGAGTAAGACTTTTAAGCAGGTCAACATTCACAAGGCCGCAGGGCCAGACAGATTACCAGGACGTGTACTCCGAGCATGTGCCGACCAACTGGCAAGTGTCTTCACTGACATTTTCAACATGTCCCTGACTGAGTCTGTAATACCAACATGTTTCAAGCAGACCACCATAGTCCCCGTGCCCAAGGACTCTTAGATAACCTGCCTAAATGACTACCGACCCGTAGCACTGACGTCTGTAGCCATGAAGTGCTTTGAAAGGCTGGTCATGGCTCACATCAACACCATTATCCCAGAAACCCTAGACCCACTCCAATTTGCATACCGCCCCAACAGATCCACAGATGATGCAATCTCTATTGCACTCCACACTACCCTTTCCCACCTGGACAAGAGGAACACCTACGTGAGAATGCTATTCATTGACTACAGCTCAGCATTCAACACCATAGTGCCCTCAAAGCTCATCACTAAGCTAAGGATCCTGGGACTAAACACCTCCCTCTGCAACTGGATCCTGGACTTCCTGACGGGCCGCCCCCAGGTGGTAAGGGTAGGTAACAACACATCTGCCACACTGATCCTCAACACGGGGGCCCCTCAGGGGTGCGTGCTCAGTCCTCTCCTGTACTCCCTGTTCACCCATGACTGCATGGCCAGGCACGACTCCAACACCATCATTAAGTTTGCCGACGACACAACAGTGGTCAGAGACCTGGCCGTGTGGTGCCAGGATATCAACCTCTCCCTCAACGTGACCAAGACAAAGGAGATGATTGTGGACTACAGGGGAAAAAAAGAGGACTGAGCACGCCCCCATTCTCATCGACGTGGCTGTAGTGGAACAGGTTGAGAGCTTCAAGTTCCTTGGTGTCCACATCACCAACGAACTATCATGGTCCAAACACACCAAGACAGTCATGAAGAGGGCCCGACAAAGCCTATTCCCCCTCAGGAGACTGAAAAGATTTGGCATGGGTCCTCAGATCCTCAAAAAATTATACAACTGCACCATCGAGAGCATCCTGACTGGTTGCATCACCGCCTGGTATGGCAACTGCTTGGCCTCCGACCGCAAGGCACTACAGAGCGTAGTGCGTACGGCCCAGTACATCACTGGGGCCAAGCTTCCTGCCATCCAGGACCTCTATACCAGGCGGTGTCAGAGGAAGGCCCTCAAAATTGTCAAAGACTCCAGCCACCCTAGTCATAGACTGTTCTCTCTGCTACCGCACGGCAAGCGGTACCGGAGTGCCAAGTCTAGGTCCAAAAGACTTCTCAACAGCTGCTACCCCCAAGCCATAAGACTCCTGAACAGCTAATCATGGCTACCCGGACTATTTGCACTGCCCCCCCACCCCATCTTTTTACGCTGCTGCTACTCTGTTAATTATTTATGCATAGTCACTTTAACTCTACCCACATGTACATATTACTTCAACTACCTCAACTAGCCGGTGCCCCTGCACATTGACTCTGCACCAGTACCCCCCTGTATATATAGCCTCCCTACTGTTATTTTATTTTACTTCTACACTTTTTTGTTGTTTTATTCTACTTTTTTTATTTAAAATAAATGCACTGTTGGTTAAGGGCTGTAAGTAAGCATTTCACTGTAATGTCTGCACCTGTTGTATTCGGCGCATGTGGCCAATACAATTTTATTTTATTTTATTTTATTTTAGATGCTGTATGCCATTCATCAGGAGATTTGATAACATCTAACCTAAGGGTTGCCACTCTTCCCTCTATCTCTTCCGGATGCCCTATCCCCACGCTACTGTTTACAGTGCAACATTTCAGGGGATTGCCAATGATTGGAAATTTCAGAAAGTTATTATTTTAAATACAATGATATGATCATTTCAACAACAAAAAATTGATTGTTCACAGCCTTTTATCTAACACTGTTAATAAAGGAACCTGGAGGGTGATTTATCAAGGGTTGCATACTCACATAATACAATATTTTGTTCATATTTGTTTATAATACTTTATGTTTATTTATTTTATAACATAAACATAAAGCAAGTAAGTACAAATATGGTCAATGTTCTACCTTATAGGCCTTCATAAGGTCCAGTGGATCCACACTGGGGCCCTCCAGTGTGTCCTGGTTCTGTAGCAGGTTCCTCACCGTCTCCTCCATGCTGCAGGCACACAGAGCATTGGGACCAATCAGAACATAGACCATGGAATAAACAAGCCTGTTTTAGAACAGGGCATGCAACAGAAAATGTTTTGCAACAGAAAACGAAAATGAGCCTTTCTTAAGTCCAGGTAGTCCCTCCCTGTTTCAGTCAGTTTTCTTCCGTTTGGTGCCTAATGAATACAATCCAGGTCCAAGCAACAATATGGGTACAATAGGCTAGTTCAGGTCTTTTTCTGGATCAAAAAGGAGCTTAGGTGGTGGTCGTGGCAGAGGGAGTGGCAATGGGAGCAATCAGCCCGTCGATTCTCCCTGACTGTCTAGCTTGGTGATTGTTGGTTCTCAAAGATGAGAAAAATACACTCAGTGGTCAGTTTATTAGGTACAACACCCTGTTCACGAAAATGCGCTACTACAGACAGTGAGTCACGTGGCCGTGGCTTGCTATATAAAGCAGGCAGACAGGCATCAAGGCATTAAGTTAGTGTTTGATTGAATGTTAGAATGGGCAAAACAAGTGACCTAAGTGACTTTGAGCGTGGTACAGTGAGGGAAAAAAGTATATGATCCCCTGCTGATTTTGTACGTTTGCCCACTGACAAAGAAATTATCAGTCTATAATTTGAATGGTAGGTTTATTTGAACAGAGAGAGACAGAATAACAACAAAATAATCCAGAAAAACGCATGTCAAAAATGTTGTAAATTGATTTGCATTTTAATGAGGGAAATAAGTATTTGACCCCCTCTCAATCCGAAAGATTTCTGGCTCCCAGGTGTCTTTTATACAGGTAACGAGCTGAGATTAGGCGCACACTCTTAAAGGGAGTGCTCCTAATCTCAGTTTGTTACCTGTATAAAAGACACCTGTCCACAGAAGCAATCAATCAATCAGATTCCAAACTCTCCACCATGGCCAAGACCAAAGAGCTCTCCAAGGATGTCAGGGACAAGATTGTAGACATACACAAGGCTGGAATGGGCTACAAGACCATTGCCAAGCAGCTTGGTGAGAAGGTGACAACAGTTGGTGCGATTATTCGCAAATGGAAGAAACACAAAATAACTGTCAATCTCCCTCGGCCTGGGGCTCAATGCAAGATCTCACCTCGTGGAGTTGCAATGATCATGAAAACGGTGAGGAATCAGCCCAGAACTACACGGGAGGATCTTGTCAATGATCTCAAGGCAGCTGGGACCATAGTCACCAAGAAAACAATTGGTAACACGCTACGCCGTGAATGACTGAAATCCTGCAGTGCCCGCAAGGTCCCCCTGCTCAAGAAAGCACATATACAGGCCCGTCTGAAGTTTGCAATGAACATCTGAATGATTCAGAGGAGAAACTGGGTGAAAGTGTTGTGGTCAGATGAGACCAAAATCGAGCTCTTTGGCATCAACTCAACTCGCTGTGTTTGGAGGAGGAGGAATGCTGCCTATGACCCCAAGAAAACCATCCCCACCGTCAAACATGGAGGTAGAAACATTATGCTTTGGGGGTGTTTTTCTGCTAAGGGGACAGGACAACTTCACCGCATCAAAGGGATGATGGATGGGGCTATGTACCATCAAATCTTGGGTGAGAACCTCCTTCCCTCAGCCAGGGCATTGAAAATGGGTCGTGGATGGGTATTCCAGCATGACAATGACCCAAAACACACGGCCAAGGCAACAAAGGATTGGCTCAAGACGTCAGCCTCGAAACCTTAATGACTTGGAGAAGATCTGCAAAGAGGAGTGGGACAAAGTCCCTCCTGAGATGTGTGCAAACAAGAAACGTCTGACCTCTGTGATTGCCAACAAGGGTTTTGCCACCAAGTACTAAGTCATGTTTTGCAGAGGGGTCAAATACTTATTTCCCTCATTAAAATGCAAATCAACATGCGTATTCTGGATTTTGTTGTTGTTATTCTGTCTCTCACTGTTCAAATAAACCTACCATTCAAATTATAGACTGATCATGTCTTTGTCAGTGGGCAAATGTACAAAATCAGCAGGGGATCAAATACTTTTTTCCCTCACTGTACCATTATAGGAATCACAGGAGGTTGGTGGCACCTTCATTGGGGAGAACATGCTCGTGGTAATGACTGGAGCGGTTTCAAGTACATCAAACACATGGTTTCCAGGTGTTTTATGCCATTCCATTTGCTACGTTCCGGCCATTATTATGAGCTGTTCTCCCCTCAGCAGCCTCCACTGATAGAAATACTAGGTTTAATTTTCTTTAGGCTAGTAACTTTCCCAGCATGCACATCACTCTAATATGAGAAACACCAACTAACTCTTTCATTTGCCATTTTTAGGCTAATCTAATCTGTCAATCAGTCTAAGAACAACGTGTAGGCCTTTCTCACCAAGGTAAGTGATAGGCTATAATTTCAGGTTTGGGATCTTTAGGCTGCCATTTTTGCTTTATCCCAAAGTGGAATACATTTAAATTTGAACGTTATAAGGGAAACAATGTCTTCAAAGCTGTTCAAAACAAGCAAATGTACGGAATACATTGGACATTTCCTCAATCCTCCTCCTCAACCTTCAACACACCCCGAGTCAAGTATCAACCCTGCACAAGTCAAGTCTCACCCCTACTCCTCAACCCTCACCTTTGCACTCTTTAGTTCACAATAATTAGCTTTTCCATTGGCCGAAATTATAGGCTACTGTCTGTAATTTTTTCCTCAATTTCATGATGTATAGGCCTAACAACATGTGACGCAATGATGTATCAAATATTCAATTTAGTGCATAGCCTAAACATTAGATACTTATTTCCCTCATTAAAATGCAAATCAATTTATAAAATTTTTGACATGCGTTCTTCTGCATTTTTTTGTTGTTATTCTGTCTCTCACTGTTCAAATAAACCTACCATTAAAATTATAGACTGATTATGTCTTTGTCAGTGGGCAAACGTACAAAATCAGCAGGGGATCAAATACTTTTTTCCCTCACTATCAGTCCGAAGTTTGGACATACCTACTCATTCAAGGGTTTTTCTTTATTTTTACTTTATTTTTACATTGTAGAATAATAGTGAAGACATCAAAATTATGAAATAACACATATGGAATCATGTAGTAACCCAAAAAGTGTTAAACAAATCAAAATATATTTTATATTTGAGATTCTTCAAATAGCCACCCTTTGCCTTGATGACAGCTTTGCATACTCTTGGCATTTTCTCAACCAGCTTCATGAGGTAGTCACCTGGAATGCTTTTTAATTAACAGGTGTGCCTTCTTAAAAGTTAATTTCTTTAATTGATTTCCTTAATACGTTTGAGCCAATCAGTTATGTTGTGACAAGGTAGGGGGGTATACAGAAGATAGCTCTATTTGGTAAAAGAATAAGTCCATATTATGGCAAGAACAGCTCAAATAAGCAAAGAGAAATGACAGTTCATCATTACTTTAAGACATGCAGGTCAGTCAATACGGAAAATGTCAAGAACTTTGAAAGTTTCTTCAAGTGCAGTTGCAAAAACCATCAAGCGCTATGATGAAACTGGCTCTCATGAGGACTACCACAGGAATGGAAGAACCAGAGTTAACTCTGCTGTAGAGGATAAGTTAATTAGAGTTACCAGACTCAGAAATTGCAGCCCAAATAAATGCTTCACAGAGTTCAAATAACAGACACATCTCAACATCAACTGTTCAGAGGAGACTGTGTGAATCAGGCCTTCATGGTCGAATTGCTGCAAAGAAACCACTACTAAAGGACACCAATAAGAAGAAGAGACGTGCTTGGGCCAAGAAACACAAGCAATGGACATTAGACTGGTGGAAATGTGTCCTTTGGTCTGGAGTCCAAATTTGAGATTTTTGGTTCCAACCACTGTGTCTTTGTGAGATGCGGTGTGGGTGAACGGATCATCTCCGCACGTGTATTTCCCATCGTAAAGCATGGAGGAGGAGGTGTTATGGTGTTATGGTGTGGGGGTGCTTTGCTGGTGACACGGTCTGTGATTTATTTAGAATTCAAGGCACACTTAACCAGCATGGCTACCACAGCATTCTGCAGCGATACACCATCCCATCTGGTTTGGGCTTAGTGGGACTATAATTTGTTTATCAACAGGACAATGACCCAACACACCTCCAGGCTGTGTAAGGGCTATTTGACCGAGAAGGAGAGTGATGGAGTGCTGCATCAGATGACCTGGCCTCCACAATCCCCCAACCTCAACCAAATTGAGATGGTTTAGGGTGAGTCGGACCGCAGAGTGGAGGAAAACCAGCCAACAAGTGCTCAGCGTACAGTGGGGAAAAAAAGTATTTAGTCAGCCACCAATTGTGCAAGTTCTCCCACTTAAGAAGATGAGAGAGGCCTGTAATTTTCATCATAGGTACACGTCAACTATGACAGACAAATTGAGAAAAAAAATCCAGAAAATCACATTGTAGGATTTTTTATGAATTTATTTGCAAATTATGGTGGAAAATAAGTATTTGGTCACCTACAAACAAGCAAGATTTCTGTCTCTCACAGACCTGTAACTTCTTCTTTAAGAGGCTCCTCTGTCCTTCACTCGTTACCTGTATTAATGGCACCTGTTTGAACTTGTTATCAGTATAAAAGACACCTGTCCACAACCTCAAACAGTCACTCTCCAAACTCCACTATGGCCAAGACCAAAGAGCTGTCAAAGGACACCAGAAACAAAATTGTAGACCTGCACCAGGCTGGGAAGACTGAATCTGCAATAGGTAAGCAGCTTGGTTTGAAGAAATCAACTGTGGGAGCAATTATTAGGAAATGGAAGACATACAAGACCACTGATAATCTCCCTCAATCTGGGGCTCCACGCAAGATCTCACCCCGTGGGGTCAAAATGATCACAAGAACGGTGAGCAAAAATCCCAGAACCACACGGGGGGACGTAGTGAATGACCTGCAGAGAGCTGGGACCAAAGTAACAAAGCCTACCATCAGTAACACACTACGCCGCCAGGGACTCAAATCCTGCAATGCCAGACGTGTCCCCCTGCTTAAGCC